TATTAGATGAGGTACTTAGAGTCACCCAATTAGTATGGACAGAAAGTCAAATGCTGGGTTACAAGGGCTGGGTCAGGGAGGAAGAATGGGGAGTTATTCTTTAAAAGGTACAAAGATTCAGTTTCACAAGATGAAGAGTTCAGTGCCTAGATGATGGTGGTAATGGTTGCTCAACATGACTGCAATTAATACCACTGAACTGTATACTTAAAAATAGTTCAAATGGTAATGTTTATGTTATATATATTTTACCACAATAAAAAAAAAAAGAGGCAGAGTTATTGTTAGATCAGTTTGTCTGATGTCCTATTAAAACATATGGGTTTACCAATATGGCTTCTCTCTCACTTACCAACTTTACATTTCCCTGTATGGCCCCGGAAGATGACTGGTTAGCCAGAGACAGGTAAGATTCCTCAAGGGAGGAACAACCTAAGACAGGCACAGTCGCAGGGGGGCCATCAGGTGAGAATTTGGGGATCAACAGAGGTGAGGCTCAGAACCTCACCCCCCCTGCTTTGAGAGAAATCTTCTGCATCCGTGGATGTCTTGCTGCCCTTGTCTAGCCTGGATTAATACTTAGTCCATAGGCACACACCTGATCATCTGATCATCTACATTTGCCTTCTTACAGCACTAAACTATGTTTTCTACCTTTATCTTGCATCTACCTACCACTTCAGCATTTTATTAAAAATAAAAATAATAACAATAAAGGGAGAAATGTGGGATCAACATATAAATCAAGTACAAAAATCAAACGAATATTCATATTTGACCTGATTGTTTATAGGTCATAATGCATGATCAAAACCGAAAGTTTCTGTGATGAATGCCCTTGTACTGTTCACCATGTAAGAATTTATTCACTATGTAAGAATTCGTTCACCATGTAAGAACTTGTTCGTTATGCTTCAGAAGATTGGAGACTGACGAGAATTAGGCTTGAGATGGATTAATGATTGCACATTGAGCGTTGACCCCCCTATACTGAATTTTATTGTTGTTAACAACCATTTGATCAATAAATATGAGAGATGCCCTCTCAAAAAAAAAAAAACATATGAGTTTACATAAGCTAGTAAAAAATGAAATAAAAGTTTGAGTTCATACAATTTCCATTGCAGGCTCTAGCTTAGTTCAGTTGATCTGTTTTACAAGTCACAGAACAGTTTTGCCAAGATGTGATTTCTGTTTCAATTCTCAGTTGCCCCATCTCAGACTAGCTGTTAGAGAGTTGTCTTTCACTTTTTCAATTTTACTTGTTTGTTTGTTTATTCCTCTTAATTGAAAGTAGTGGATTTGGGATTCCAACCCAAAGTAGCCATAATACACAGCCTATGCTCTTCGACTGTAGGCCTCCTCAGAAGGCTAAAGCAGAGCTTTGAAATTTGCCCAGTCCATTTGTCCCTAATCTGTAACAAATGCAATTCCAGGCTGACTATTCCAGGCACCATAAAACACACAAGTAAATATGGCATTGTCTGACCTCCAGGACCTCACAGACTGGAGAGCAAAACAGACATATATATATAAAAACACCAGTAAGTGTAGGGAAGTATGATAAATTCTACAAAGCAAATGATTCTGTGCCCAGATAAGAATATAACTGTGATGCTATTTCCCTGCATGTGGTTAAAATACTTTGACAAAGAAACAAGACACCTTTTTGGTTACTAGAGATATGTTTCAAGTTTGAAATGGGAACACTGCTAGAAAATGTAACATATGTAATTAGGTTTCTCTGAAGTATACACAAGGACATTAGAACCTTTCCTAAGAGTAGATTTAGATAAAGCAGAGAAAGAGAGCAAAATAATTCCTAACATAAACACCATAATTTAAAGCTGGGGTCAGCAAACTCTTTCTCAAAAGGGCCAGATAGTAAATATTTTCTGCTCTTCAGGCCATTCACAGCCAAAGACACTCACTATATAGACAAAGGAGTATGGCTGTATGCCAATAAAACTTTACTTATGATTACTGAAATTTGTAATGCAATTTTCACAGGTCATAAAATATTATTCTTTTTAATTTTTCCCATCCATTTGAAAATGGAAAAACCACTCTTGGCTCTCAGGCTGTACGAACACAGGCAGCAGGCCCCATTTGGCCTACAGCTATAATTTGCCAACCCCTGCTCTCCAGGCTTGCTTCTCAAAGTGTGGCCTCCATCCCAGCAGCATCACCAACATTCAGAGCTTGTTAGAAATACAGAACCTCAAGTCCCACCCAGCTCCAGGGAAGGAGAGTATGCATTTGAGACCCTTACCTCATGTTTGATTTGCACGTCCCAGTTTGAGAAGCACTGGTTTTAGGTTTATACAGCTCCGAAGCCAGACTTATAAATTCCAGTGCTATAATACAACTTCCCAGGGAAGTGGCCATTGTCTCTTTCAGCAGATATGTGTGAGATTTACATACACACACACACATGGCAGACATGTGTGAGATTTACACATATACACGGAGCTTAAATGATATTTGTCATTAGCATTGGTCACCCCTTTTCACAGAAGTGTGGTCCAGAAAACTGAAGACACTTGTAGAGGGTCACCAAACAAAGTCTTTCTGCCTCCAAATTGAGTCTTGAGGACAATGGAATGTTCAAGGCTCCGGACGGAACACACTTTCCAGGCCCCGAGGTCTTCATGCCACGTCTGCCTTCCACCAGGCCACTCCCAGCAGCGTGTCATAGCCTGTGCCCCTTAGGTATCTCCCCATGCCCCACATGAGCAGCTCCCCAACTCTACCACACAGGGGTCTCCCTGCATCTATACCCCAAGTTAACCTTCATTCCTTGAAATTTATCTTCCATTTAAGTTGCATAGTGTTTTTTACAACTTCTCTTTCTAGTTATAGATTATAAATGTTCCCTCCGCTGAGCCTTGTAGCTGACTGACTATTTTTCATTATATTTGTAGGGCTCAGGGAAAAAAAAAAAGGCAATTCCTTTATTTGAGAATCCTGACATTTATTAGCATAATAAAACTCTCAAGATGAAATTGCAGTTTTCCAGACAGTAATTTCATTTGCAGGACAACTTAGAAGGAATTTATTTTAAGGCCAGGTAAAACCTAAAATATATGAGACATGCAGAAGTGCAGCCCCAAATAAAATGAAATAAATGTGTTAGGTATAGAGAACTCAGCTGTTGTCTCTCACATGTTAATTAGGGGTGACAAGAACAACAGCTTGGGGATTCAGCTTCGTGACCCAGCTCGGTCTGCTTTCAAAGCCGCTACTAGCTCTTGGAATGAGAAGTTTCTTCTAACACCTTGAAAATATCACACTGTATTCCCCTGACACATCACTGCTAAGCACAAAATAGTTGTTGTTGTTACTGCGGTTGTTATTAGCAATATCTTTCATTTGGATGAAGCTTTCATATTTATCATTTCACTGACCTGCCAGGAAACCTAGTGATGGCCATACAGAAAATTCCCTTCTCAGCGTTAGTGAGGTTAAATGCCTTGAACAGAGTCACATAGTTGATAAGTAGCACAGCCCAAGTTAAAATTTGGTTCCTTGGAGTCTAACAGAAAGAAGGTAATTTTAGCAATAATCAGTTATTGTTTTAAAGCACTTGAGATTCAGAAAGCAAGTTCCCTCCTTCACTGCATTTTATTCACTCAGGGGGCCTGCAAGACAGGCAGACAGGATGGGAATTATGGAGCCAGGCTGCAAAACTGATATTACTGAGCACATTTGCCCAATGAGCCCTCACCCTAGCGTCCCTAAAAGGCAGAGCCTGTGGCAAATGCTTGTGTGTTGCTACTTTATCAAGAGTGCAATCCCAGGGGGGCAGGAGAAAGAGCAAGAGGAGGGAGGCAGAGGAGGGGAGCAGTCGGGAGGGTATGGTACTGATCGGCCTCTGCTTGGTTTCATCATGACCAGCCAGTAGCTCAGGACTAGTCCTGCAGGAGTGTCTTCCAAGAGGCCACATGGAGAACTGCTTCTCAGAAGAGTCCCTCTATAGCCGCTATCACCCATTGTTCCAAGATTCACTGCATGGAGACGTAGCTTCCAGCTCTTCTGGTTTGCATGGTGTCTTATGCCTCTGTGGCCACAGATGAGAAACCCATGACACATACATGGCAAGGCATGATTGGCTTATGCTCACACGAAGCTGATCAACACAGTGGGAAGCACAGAGCACATGCAAAAGTAGTTGCAGACTTGGCGACCCAGGTGAAAGATGAGGTGAAGGATCTAAGGAACCAGTGAGGCATGAGGGGAAGTAGAACATAGAGATGTTTGGTACAACCAGCAGGTTAGGTAAACCAGTTCGCTGACATCCAGAGTCCTTTACTCTCATCAAATGCAATGCTGTTTGTATTAAAATACTAGTGAGTTACATGGTGGGTTGCTGAACACAAGTCTGCTTGATTCTAGAGCCTGGACTACTCTCATCATAACATGCTGTCTCTGTGCACATGTCCATAAATGTGAAAAGTGAACAAATAGCCACCACCCCTGACAGTTATTGAGAAGGTATTAGAAGGGTCTTCTTAATATGAAGAACATACTCAAATTAAGTTGACAGTAGAATCAAAATCAAAACGACTGTGAAGGCAGAAGTAATTATTTGAGCAATCTGCATAAAGAAGGCCAAGACCTAGGGAGCAGAAGCCTTATCCAATGTCTATAAACCATTCTTGGATTTATAATTAACCCCAAATTTGCAGCACATTTATAGGAATACATGAAAACACTGCCTCAGTATGGCAAAACCAGGGCCAAGATATGTTTCCAAGACAGAAGAGAGGTGGCAGAAGAGGCAAATAAGGAAGGCAGAGCAGTATCAGTCATCTGTTATGGAAGATGGTCTCAGAATGTTTGGATAATTCTGATGATCATATCATTGTGGTTTGAATACAGACATCCTTAAAGATATTGTATCTGTATTTTCCATATGAACCCTTTATAATATTTCTCTAAACCATAACTTTATAAATAGTGACAAGTAGGACATAACTTAACTAGAAATCATTGCTGATCAGTATTGGAAGACTTTTCAAAAGAAGTGTATTCATTCAACAAACATTTATTGAATGTCTACCATGTGTTAAATTCAGAGTTCGGCACAAGAATTTTTTGGATTATTAAAACATGATCCGTGGGCTCCAGGGGCTCAGCTTAGGGCAGCCGTGACTAACAGGCTTCATCTTCTGAGGTCAAATCTGAACTCCTCATGAGAGAGTTGCATGAACTATTAGCAATTTCTGTCCCGGGCTCGGGGATGGGGACCAGTAGCACACGTGCTATATATTTCACATCCCTTTAGACATTCTAATCTACTTAACCCTAGCAATGGCAATGGGTCTTCCAGAAGGCCACAAGGATTTGAGCTGGGACATTCTTGAGTTCAAAAAAAAAGGATGCCCAAAGGAGTCCAACTGGTAAGGGAAAAAAATCATTCAAACAACAGATGGTAGTCTGGCGGGCTGTCCCTCTGTCCACAGGGTTCCTGCAGCAACTCTCCCCCTGAAACAGTGATAATTTCCTCCTGAAAGGAAAAACAAAGGAAATTCACTTCTAATCAAGAAAGAGAAATAAACAGCTACAGGAGAGAGACTGGGTCAACATAGAAAGACTAAGAATATGTGTCTGCCTCCTCCTCACTCAAATTTATAGAAATTAAAGGAAAAAAAATAAGCTTTTAAAAATCCATAAAATACAAGGAAATAAGAAGGATGGCCATCAACAAAGCAACAATGTTTAAGAATCCTTGAAAACCAGAAGAAGTTACTATGGGGCAGGGCTAGAGCAAATACTGGTGGGACGGGCTGGGGAACCCCAGACAGAAGAGGCCTTTGCCTCAGGCAGATCAGGGAGTTGGTGGGGGGCACCCTCCTTCCTCGGGATGCAGAAGACACCTAAAGAGTTCAGACATTCCCATGTCCAAAAGATGAGCCATTCACTGTCAACTCCAACCCTTAAAAGCATAGAGAGACGGGACTTGGGAAACAGGGACTATATCTACTGATGGATAAACAGGAAATTCAAAGTTCTAAAATTATCTCAGAGCTCAAAATTGATAAATATTTAAGGAAAATCATAACCATAAAAGAAAGATGCCAAACTCAATTATAGAACTGGCTCCTAAGAAAATACCACGTTTACAAAACAAACAAAGAGCCTGCAAGAGATGCATAATCTCCTCAGTGGAATAAGAAGAAAAATCATCCACGATACCAGAATAGGCATTATAAAGAAACTGGAAATGAAAAGGATGCTCCTTTAAATTAAAAGGAAAATGCCCACATAAGACCTAAAGAGCAGGATGGGCATAGATAAGGAGCAATTTAGTTGCCAGAGAAATTGACACATCAATAAGAAAGAGACAGCTAAGTAGAAAATGGACAAAGGATATGAACAGGTAATTCACAGAAGAAATCCAAGTAGCTGTTAAACATATGAAAAGATCCTCAGCATCAGTGCTAATCAGAGAAATGCAAGCCAGACAATGATGAGATATAGTGTCTATCCATCTAATGGGAAAAAATTTAAATGATAGCTAATCCCCAACATTGGCAGCAGTGTGAGGAAGCAGCCTCGCATGATTCTGGCAGGAGCATGAACTGGTGCTACATTTTTGGAGGGCAATCTGGCAGATCTTTTCAAATTAAAATGTGCATTATCTTCCATCCAGCAATTCCACATTCTAGGGATCCATCCTAGAGAAATACTTGCACATGTGCCCAAAGCAACATACACAAGAAAGTCTTTCCAGCACTATTTGTGATCATGAAAACCTGGGAGCTATATAAGTGGCCATCAAAAGGAGAATGGATAATTAAATTGTATATACACCCATACCATAGGGCATTTACAAGGGTGCAGTATACTCACTGACATGGAAAGATCTCATAGACACATTTCAATAGGAGCCAATGTCCTGATAACTTGCAAATGCCAGGTGTATTGTACATTTTACACAGTGCTATCTCTTTGACACCTCACAGTGACCCTGAAGAGGTGAGTGCTACTATTAAACCCATCTCACTGAGGAAGAAACTAAGGCACAAAAGTTTGAGTTGTTGCCCAAAGTCACACCAGTAATGAGGGTGGAATTTAAAGCTCGACAGCCTATTCTAGGCACCAGACTTTTAAAAATACATTCTATGGTATATTAAGCATGTTAAAAAATTAAAATGCTGAGCTACTGGCAAAGAATTATCCAATTTATGTGAAAAAATGTAACATACTGTATATTTCCTTATATACATGAATGCCTATATCAATGCCCAGGAAATACTTGGATAGGTACGTGTGAGACCGGTGATTCAAGGTGGAGGGTGAAAACAGGGGTTGCAATGAAGAAGTCTTTCACTTTGTATTGTATTTGATTTATCTTACAATGTAATCATAAATTAACAAGTAATTAAAATTTTAATTTATAAATGCTGGCCACCAGATCACCACATGGGCATGGACGAGCTCTCTGTTCAGTGGTATAAAACTAAAGTGGCAGTCTCAAACTTTGGATTTGGGAGAGAATAAAGACCTTCAAAGATGTCTGATCTAGCCTTCCTATGCAGGAATATGTCCATAGCATCTCTAAGAGATGGACATTTTCCCTCTGCTTGGACACTTCCAAGGTCAAGGAACTCATCACTGCTCAAAGAAGCTTACACAGGAAAAAGCACAAGCTTTAGAGGCAGATAGCCTGAGGCGTAACTCCTGCATCTGGCTGGTAGCAGCCACAAAAACTTACATTACTCAAGCTCCCTGGCCTTGGTTTCCTGATCTGTGAAATAGGACTAAAATGCCTCCCTTGCAGAGCTATCATGAAAATTAACTGAGAGCATGGATGGAGAGCAATAGGTATGATGCTTGACACAAAGAAGGTGCCAATATCCACACATCACTTCCCTCTCTCTTTCCTATGGTGTTAGAAAGCTCTTCCCAACACAAGTAGAAATCTACCCTGTTGTCCAATTTTCCAGCAGCGCTCTCTACCCAGTGTACAGGTATTTGCAAATAGGGGATTCTATGTGCTTATGTATAAGATCAGGTCAAGGGCTGTCCCTAAAGCCCTAGGGACATCCATGGAGAAAAAGCTATACAAATGCAAGAGTCCCTACTATAGTAAAACCCTAGTGAGACAGTCAAGTAATTCTGGGAGACCTTCTACACCTGCAAAGCTCAGGTAGATGGTGGACTCCTGAGCTACCACAACTCTGTCTTTCAGAATCCCTGGGTCCCACCCTTCTGGGTCACTGAGGTCCACTGTTGGCTGTCTCCCAGTTACTACTGATACCAACAGCTACATTAACCCAAAAGTTGTTTCTGTCTACATATACTGTTTGGAAGTCAACATCTTTTTCAACATGAGGTCCATGGCAGGGGAACAAATAACAAAATTACTCTGGGCAACAAGAACTTCCATATCACTTTACAGTTTCAGAGTACTATTATGTACCTTCCCTCATTTGATCACAGCGTTAAGCTAAGTATTCTTTACATCCATTTGCTGGTTAGGAAAAACTCAGTGAAACTAAGAAGCCTGCCCAAGGTCACACCCATACCAAGTGGTAAACTGTAGTTGGGGCAAGTTTCATGGGAGGTCTACTAGGAAAGCTTCTCTAACCCCAGGGCTGACCACTAGGCTTCAGCTCACTCCACAAAGCTACCAGAGACCTGCCTGAAATGTCCTCAAGAGGGATATCCTGACAATGAGTTGCGGGTGAGACAAGGACTTGGACAGAAGGCAGGTAGACCAGCCCCTAAGTGTCAACAGTAGGGAGCAGTCAGGTACTCAAGTTGAGAAGAGGCCTGGGGCCCAGGGTTGGAGGGGACTGTATGAGTGAGAGGGTAAGCCAGAGAGAACAGTGCCCCAGTCTTGCCTAGACAACCTCTGGTCTCTTCCACCCCAGTTCCATAGCCCTGTGACCCTAGGAACTTCTGGGGCTGCCTGTTCCCTCTCCATCCCCAGTTCTTTATGATGCCTGCAGCCTGGCTCTCTCTTCTGTTCATGTTTCTACCAGTTTCATCTCCCAGCAAGCACTCCTATGAGAGATACCTTGTGGAAGTCAATGAGATCAGTGAGTGTTGCATGGCGGTTGGGGTCCACGCCCAGGAAGCTGTAAAAATCCCCAGAGGCATCCACAAGAAAGTGCTTGAACCCTTTCTGCAGGCGGTAGGAGAGGGTGTAACCCCAGATTTTCTCACTGACCCGGACCAGAAATGCTCCCTCAGTCATGTTCTCAAGGAGACCTTCTGCATCTTCTCGGCTAATAATTCCTGGTTTAAAAAAGAAAAAAAATGTCAGTACAGGCTGTAATCCCTTCCCTGGACATCCCCCACTATTTATTACCCCTGCCCCTCATCTCCCAACAAGGGTGTCTGGAAGAGAGGGGTCTCAAGGGCTGTCCAGGCCTTGCCTCGTCCCACACAGGATGCATCTTGGCCCAGAGCGGCCACTCGTGAGCTTGGGAACACAGTTTCTACTAGGACTCGAGTTTAGCAGGCTTTCCTCCAAATTAAGCCACACTAATTTGGATTAACTGGGTAAGCAAAGCATTACTAATGGCTGGAATTATAGCATCTATTGATTACAAATACAAGTCAACAAGCATTGCCCTGAGGAGAACCCTCAGAGTCCTACTTTAATGATAAGACCAGAATGACTTACAATTACTGCCCCAGTTCTCTTTCCAGTACCCAGGAATGAGCAGTAAAAACAGTATTTCCTCTTAAGAAGTGAAAAGACTTCCTCCATGGACCTGCGGACACTAGGGAGACCGTTTCTTAATAGGTCCACAGAATTAAGCTTCACTTCAGCTCAAAGAACAAAGTCTTGTGAGGTTCTGGCGTTGTGCACAATGTGGTGTCTCCACAGCATGAAAGTCAGGTCTGGCCCTGGGGTTGTTTATAGGACAGTGGAAGTCCCCTGAAAGGCTTTTAGGGAGCATTCCCATCTAGGCAGGGCTCAGGAGGCAATGAGCTTCATGGGTCAGGCTCTGGAGGGCAGGAAGCAGAAGGGAGCCAGAAAACCTAGATTACCTGTCCAGCTCGGCCCTCACCTGGCTAACAGAGCTTCAGCCAAGCCCACAATTTCTTCCATGTCCTTTCATATTTAAGTGATCATCTTAATCCATCCACTTCAAGGGTACATTACAACTCTCAGGTCAAATGACTTAGCATTTCAGAAACAGATAAGACAGGTGCACGGCAGCACACTGTCCCTTTAACCTCTACCTTTAGTTGGTGGGATTACTTACAGCCTGTGACACAGGAGAAGGGGAGGAGGTAGCTGACTGCTCATTCCCATGACCCCAAAGGCACTACACTGGTGATTTCTGTCCATCGCACGGCATGCCTGTCCCGAGCTCACCAGGCAGGCAGACACCCTCCCCTTCCTCTCCTACTTAATAGGAGGCATGGCCGGAAGTTCCCTGTGCCCAAAGCAGAGGACACAGAGGCAAACACACTGTCCCATGTCCCCATTTTAGAGACAGCCAACACCAGTGGGGGCTACCGCTTTCCTCCCTGACCAGGACTCATCGAGAAGCAGTCAAGCCAGCCACCGCCTTCCCACCCAGACTATCTAGGTAGACAACTAGAGCTGGATTGGGAGGGAAGGAAATGGAGAGCCCCCACCACCACCACCACCACCACACGGCACCTGAAGTTTCTCTCCTTCCTTCCTTTCTTCCTTTTTTCCTTCATCCCTTTCATAAACAGTTATTCAGCACTCTCTAGGGGCCAGGCCCCACATTGGACACCTGAGAATCAGCATCGCATGAAAGTTTCCTGCCTTCTTGAAGCTTTGACTGAACAGAAATAAAGTTCGTCAGAAAGTTTTGTAAGGCCACCGCAACCAACAGCGATAAGGGCCATGTGAGGTATGGGCCCATGTGCTGTGGTATCGCACTAGGGAGACACCCCACCCGGCTCTGGGGCCCACGCACAGCCACGACAGTTAGACTGGGACAGAAAGGTGAAAACAGAGGAGCAAGGCAAGTAGGGCAGCCTGCAGAAGGAGCGAGTGCAGGGTTCTTGGAGGCTGAAGGGCAAGCCAAAGCAGGAGACGGCCACGGCTCTAAGTGGTAGAGCTAGAATGTGACTCAGAACCTCGGATTTCAAGTCCAGTGCTCTATGGTCTACCCCATGTTACCTCATGCAGAGGACAGTAAGTGCTAGAAAAGACACAAGAAGGAGGAGATTAATGAGGCCTGGATGTCAGGGCAGGCCTTACAGAGGCAACAAAGTCTTGAAGGCTGAGTAGATTCCACATTAGCAGCAACGAGTGTATGAAGGAGAAAAGTCCAGAGAAAGGATAAGATGAGTGAGGTCACAGTGAAAACTTGGAATGATGCATCCATTTATATAAATTGATGTGACTGTAACATAAGAGAAACTTAATCTAAATTGCAGGAAATTAACAGACAGGGGAATAGAATGAAAGGTCTAAAGCATGTGTAATCTGAAACCCAAAGAATGGACAGATGAACAGACAGGAGACAATACTTAAACAGTAAATGGTTGGGAATTAATCAAAGAAGCATAATAGTAAAACTACACAGTGCTGCTCAATGTCTCACTTTGTCAACCAGAGAAAACAGGCAGATTACCCACAAAAAATAAACAATCTGACTGTTGACTTCTCAGTTGCAACAATCAAAGCCAGAGGACAATGAGATAATATTTTCCTGGTACTCAGAAAAAAATAAAGGTGTTTAATGAAACTACCTTTCAAGAACAAGGGCAAAATAAAGCCATCTTCAGAAAAAATTGGAGAGTTGACTATTAAGGATATTCTAAAGGATGTACTACAGGTAGAAGAAGTATGATCCTGGATAGAGAAGCTGAGATGCTAGAGGGATGATGAGCATAGACACTGTAAGTTAATTTAAAAATACATACGGACTTACAAAATAATAATGGATAATTTGAGGGTTAAAAAAGAACCATAATACTAGACAAATCTGATTAGTTCAGTAGGAATGACTGGAGTTCAAAAATCCTCTTTAGGAAGAGGGTAAAAACAGACATATTAACTTGAGAATATGTTAAGTATGCAGGTCAAATTATTCTACATTAACCCCCACTAAATGATAAGGCACTGTGCCTGGTATAACCTCCAAACAACAGAGGTAGAAAAATGCAATTAGAAAAAAGTTTTCGATGAAACAAGCTAATAATTGAAAAATAAGTACAGTATCATTCCATTTATATTAAGCTGAAAAGTTCACAAATCTAAACACTACAGTGTTTAGAGATTGGTATATAAACAATAAGTAAAGCAAAGAAATAATGGGGGAAATATTCAGGACAGGGAACCTATCTGATGGAAGGAAGAGGGGGCTTCCAAGGATTGGTGATAACATAGACCAGGGTTTACCAGCCTGACACTAGTGACATTTTGAGCACGATAAAAATATGTTATGGGGACTTGCCCTTGGCACTGTACCATGTTTAGCAGATCCCTGACCTCTATCCAGTAGAGGTCAACAGCACCTCTAAATTGTGACAAAGAAACACGCCTCCAGGCATTGTCAACTGTCCCCTGGGGCATAATCACCCCTGTTGAGTTGAGAACCACCAACATGGAAATAGACCTGAAAGAAGTGTAACTGATAATGGGGGGAAAACATTATAGAAAATAGTGCTGTATGATATAATTTATTCAGGAAAGGCAGCTTACACAGAGGCTTATGTAAAAATTATTATTTTGTAAGATCTGTGAGTGCAAGGTTTTTTCTGTTTTGTCCCTCCTATATCCCCATGTCTGGAACTTATTAGGCCCTCATTATTGTTGAATAAATTATTAATTAATTAAAATTATATTCCCATCTGCCACTGTGCCAACCACTGTGCTAAGAGCATCATACACACTAGTTAATTCAGTCTTCGTAATAACCCTTCAATGTATGTACTTTTACTCTCCCCATTTTACAGAGTGGAAAATTAGACTAATAGAGAATGAGTTGTTCCCCAAGGTCTCACAGTTAGTTAAGTGGCAGAGAGCGGAGAGAGGTAGGTCAGCATTCTTTTCAATGACAGTCATGTATGCACAAGGCTTGTATTCCTAGTAGACTGTCAGCAGCCTGTTCTCCAATCCAGAGCCTTACATGCAGAAGGCCTTGGAGGAAAGTGTGTGCAAGGTGTGGATTAGGCCTCAGGACCCTGTTGTTCTGAGGGGCCGAGGTCAGAGCTTTGGGCACTGACCAGTGGTAAGGCTGACCACTGTCCAAGAGACAATACCCAGAAGGTCTGTTTGGCCCAGGGGCTGTACCCAAAGAGGCCAGAGGTGGGGAGTAGTTGCAAACGTCCAGACAGAAACTGTGCTCAGTCTTGAGGGAAAAGGCTTTTCCAAAGTGGATGGGCTCATCTCCAGGGTCTGCAAGATTCAATATGATATCCTGTTGGAAGTGGCTCTAAACCAACAAATCTGAGCTTCCAATAAGGTCTCTTGCCACTTAGGGCCTGACCTTGAGAAATCTTTCTTCAGTAGTAAAATGGACTCACATTAGGGTCACCCAAAGTCATTGACCACAGTAAGTCAAACAATGGCTGGAAAACAAGGCGGCTGCAACTATGGGGGCTGCTCCTGCCAGGCTAGGCACAAACCCAGCCCGGCCTTTGCCGCAGCCTTGTAGATCAGTGACAGAAGCGAACAGCACTGTCATCTGGAAACTGAGGCCGAAGGCCCGCATACAGATCAGAACCTGTGAGAAAGCCTGGTGGGGAGGGTTTTGCCCCTGATTCAGCTCCCATGAGCCCAGGGCACCTCGGGGCAGGGCAGCAGGAGAAATCGATCAACAGCAGCGCCCTCTGTCAGGCCTCTGCAGAAAAGACGGGGCCAAGGTCCGGACAGAGGCCCGCCTCACTGCTGAACCAGGGGAGTGTGTGAGAAGGGGGCACTGCAAAAGGCGAGACATGCAGAAGGCGAGACATGCAGCAGCGTAACCAAGGAGTCCGGGTTCACCCGCACTCTGCCAACAGCCGCCCAGTAGTACTACCCGAAGCACCCTGTGAGTGGGGCCAGCAGCTCCCGACTCCTGTGACTGCACTGAGAGCACAGATCCCCATGCTTCTTCCTGACACCCCGCCTAATCCTCTCCCTGCAACGCCGCCAACAACTTCCTGTTTGCTATCAAAATATTTACGCCATCAGTGCTCATCGGCAGCAGCCTCAGGAAAGGGAAGGCACTTTAAGCACACTTTCAAAAGACACTCTGCTCTAATGGACCCATAAATCCACACGTGAGCAAACCCTAAAGCAGACCTGGGATTCA